CTTCAGACTGTTGTTTTGTTAAAGTAGGGATATTGTACCTTGTACCTTGTACCTTGGTCCCTTAACCCAGGTCAGGGTCGTGGGGGCACTGCATGGTGGAGTGTCTGACCATCTGCCGCCATCCCTCTCGGCTGTGAGCTAGGGTTAGGGTTTCCGAGGGATATTCCCTTCTACAAAAAAATCCTTATAAGCTAACTCTTCTTTTATAGGTTTTAAGACTTCTTCAAAGGAATACAAGGAAGAATAAAATTTCACCTCTTCACATAAAATGTCAGAAGGATCCAATATATCTTTTCCATCCTGCAAAACGATCTTAGAAACATTTTTTTTAGTTTTGTTTCGATTTAGCAGGTTAAAGAAATGTTTAGTCGGTTTTTCACCTAACTGCATCCATTTAGCACGAGAGTGCAACATATTTTTTTGTCTTTTTTCCTCGTAAACAGTTTCAAGTTCCATCTCTTTTTGTTTTAATTCTTCTAACATATAGAGGGGAGGAGAACTCAAACTATCAATTTTGTTTTGCAAGTTACATAATTCACCCTGTTATCTCCTTTCCTTCTTTAACCATTGTTTTCTTCTGATGGATGCAAATTTTATGCAGTGACCCCGAAAGGCACACTTAAATGAGTCCCATTTAATTCTGGGTTCTGCTGATCCTTTGTTGAAAAGAAAAAAAAAACTCTTCAATAAATTTTCTTGTATCCTTAAGGAAAGTATTATCCTTCAATAAACTTGAATCAAATTTCCAATATCCAGGTCCATATTGCAAAACTCCAGGTAGAATTGTTAAGGATATTAATCTATCATCTGATTTGAAAGTTTCTTCTATGTCAGTTTTTGTGACTTTTGAAAACAACGCAAAAGAAATTAGAAAATAGTCCAGGCGACTAGCCTGTTCTTGTCTCCTCCATGTATATCTAATGGTATCAGGATTATTTACACGCCATACATCAACTAAATCAAAGGTGGCAGACAATTCACAGATTGCTTGTAAAGCACGAGGGTGATTGTTTAATACATGCTGTCCTGATCTATCTGTTTTAACATCCAGCACCGTATTAAAATCACCAGTAAGTATAACATTTTCGTTACACTCTTGCATTTCTGTAATGTTACTTTGTATTTCTTCAAAGAAACCTTCATCATCTTCATTTGGTGCATAAATGTTAACTAAACAACAACGAAAGCTATCACAATTCAAATCCATTAAAATATATCTGCCACCTTCATCTTTTCTAATATCATTTATCTGATATGACAAATTACTTTTAAACATAATAAGCACACCACAGCTATTTCTTTTGCCGTGGCAAAATACAATCTGACTACCCAAAATACAATCTACTAAAATTAACTTTAGATATGGCGAAAGGAACCGTTGCCAGGAA